GACACGGCGAAAATAACAAACATTTACCATTACAAAAATCATATTCCTACTTTTTTCAGTCACAATTTAGCATGCATTTAGACAGTAGTAAACATGTACCATACATTTAAGGTAATTTTACATTGCCTAATTATATTTACTGCATCAATAATCAGAGTTGAAGGCATACTTCTGGCCAAATCACAAGCAATTCTCTTTAACTTAACTCAGGTTGAAGGACTTTTCTTCAGTATTCAAATCAATTTTTAATCGTACATAATATTTTTTCACTTATAGATTGTTGTTAAATTCATCAGCTAATTTTTTTTTTAATTTTATTTTATTGCAATTTTATTTACAAGAAAGCTTGTTTCACTCAAATTTGGACAAATTTTGACCCATACGTACATGTACTTTCATGAAATTTAAATATAAATAAGTCTAAGAGTTTTAGAGATCTAAATAATACTCTGTAGAAGATGGATTTATGAGCCCCCTCCCCCTTTTAATCCCTTCATCACAGCATACTTATGTGTGGAAAAACCAGTATGGAAACAAAACTTCAAATTTTGTGTTTGTAAAACTGAAAGTTTCAGACCCAGGGGGGCAGGGGACGTTGATGTTTCCGAGCCCGATGTTTATTCATTTACATGTAGTATAATACAGAAGGCATAAAAACTTGAGGGGTGGATCTCGTATTTTTTTTCAACAGAAGTGGTAACTAACCACTAGTACCCCACGGTGAAAATTTCAGTACCACCAGCAAAAAGTGCTTTGGTATTAATTTATGTGTGTGTCAGGTATGGGAGTGGGGTAACCCCCTATTTTCTCATAGAAGTTGAGAAACGCGAGCACTTGCTATAGCTACATGTTTAATTACATGTAGTAAGATAATTAAATTGCATTTGGTTTACCCATAAACTTTGGAGTAGCGGACCATTTGGACTAGAAATTTCCGAATAATAGAAATCAACTTATCTGACTTTAAGATAAAATGACTTAAATATCACATATCTTTTTCCAACGTGTATATGTTATTGGTTCAAACAGCCACATAATTTGGTGCATGTATTAATTTAAAAAACGTATATTTAACCCTCTCTGTAATATATATTTATGACCTTTCAAGAGGGGATGAGTCTTGCTAAATCCGCAGGTATACACCTTTCAAGATAAGACAATTTGTCCAAATTCACATTAATTGTATGAACAAATATCTACTTTGTCCGAACAAATATCTAATTCGTCCGAACAAATACCTAATTTGTCCCAACAAATATCTACTTTCTCCGAACAAATGTCTCATTTGTCCGAACAAATATCTTATTTGTCCGAACAAATATCTAATTCGCCCGAACGAATTTCTAATTTGTCCGAATAAAAATCTAATTTGTCCGAATAAATATCTAATTTGTCCGAACGAATATTTAATTTGTCCGAACGAATTCCTAATTCGTCCGAACAAATATCTAATTTGTCCAAACAAATAAATATTTTTTTGTTCTGGCCCTCCAACGGCGCAGTAATATCATGCTTTAAATTTTAAAGAATTTTATTGAATAGTTAGATACAACCTATAAAATATAAACCAATCAGATTTTAGCACACGTGCATGCATGTCCTTGTATTAATTTTGATAGCAGCGTAATGTAGGAACCCATTATACTTGCATGTATCTATGTTTTAAATTTCATCCTCATATGTTAAAAACTAAGGAAGTTATAAGCATTTAAAGTTTTAGTCAATCAAATTGCAGCATGCGTACATGCGCGTGTTTTCGAGAATTTCTGCATATACCATATTGTTGAACCTTATAATACATACCTTTGTTTCAAATATAAAAACATTTCGTCAAAAAAAAAAAACAAAACATGGAAGATATTAAATTTTTTGTTTCAGCCAAGAAGAGGAAAGCGTACGTGCATGCGGGCGAGTTCATGCTAATTCACCATATCATTTTGTCTAGACATATATATTTATATTTTATTTTGAGTTTCAAAGCATTTCATCCAAAAATATAAAAGTTGCTGCTATATCAAGTATATCAGTCATTTCACTCATTACACGCGCACGCACTTACATCAGTGCGCTAAATGACCTTCGTTCTGCAAATCTACACAACATGTCTATTAACCCTAAAAATGTTTCGCCTCAATTAGAGGAATTGTTTCCGAGATCAAGATTGTGTGAGTAGTTTCCGAGTACCCAAGAAGAAGAAAAACAAAAAGAAGATTGATTGATTAATTGATTAAGGTTTTATGCCGAATCGGCACTATTTCAGCCATATATCGGCGAAAAAGAAGAAAAAGAGTAAAAAAATATGTTCACAAACTTAGTTTGGGAAATATAATGAGTAATGAATGATACAATGGGCCTAAACCTTCCAAACACTGATGTGACTCGGACTTATGGCATAGTCTGAGATCCTGTTTACCCTGCTTGGATAGTGCTGCAGCGGCAGCATTGGTTATTCCGATGTCAGATCTAGAAGTGAACTCGACAAAGTAGAGAAGGTAAATATTAAAGCAGTTACATAGAGAAAAGTAAAGAAAGTCTAGGGTTGAAGTCATAACATTGGTGAAAAGTAAACAAAGGGATTGGGAGATACGAGGTGCAGTAAAACGGTTGATCCCTTCCAACATGAGTGAATAAGATTTTTGAGCTGGTAGAATGATAAACAGTGTTAACACAAACAGAAAAGGAGTTTAGAAACACTTAACAGGTAGTACAATGAAAAACTTAAGTTTTTGATTCAAAAAATTATACCAATTACAAGGCGTTCAATCTTTTCTTTGAATAGGAAGAAGATTTGTTTGTTTTCAAAGTATTTTCTAAAACTATGGCGTATGTTTGAAGATTCTGTCTTTCTTGGACTTTTTTCTCTGAACAAGTTTTAAAACTCTTGTTTGCTGTTGAAAAAGTATTAAATGTTTGATAAATGGGTGCTGATAGTGAATACCATTCATATTAATAATTCATATAAATAGTTCATCATTAGACAAAAAGATATTATTTCTTGAAACATATAGCTTAAGTGTCTTTAATTGAAAAAAAATATTTTGGCATAATTAAATGTTTTTCCGAAAAAATCACCTCTCCTTAGACAGACCTTGCAATGTCTTGTAAGATATATAGCACTTTGCGCCTTGGTTTCGGAGTTACCATCTTCTATTTGTAATTTCTGCAAAAGAGCTGTCAGTTGGGTATTATATATGTATCTCTATGTATACGGAAAAGGAAGTAATTATGGTTATCGAGAATAAACCTGATTTATTTGTTTTGAGCAACCTACAGTCTATTTTTCATATTTTTTTGTCAGTCAGCATTTGACTTAATGATAGATTGTACTTGCTGACAAAATCATAAAATTTAAACGAGAATGTTGATATTCTTTTTCTTGTTTGTTAATAGCTTGCCTCGTTTTAGAAATTGCTCGTATAGAGCATGCTCTTGCGTATCGAATCAATTGAGACACATAAATACAATATGCAGGTGATAAGGGTATATTGCTACACAAGTAAGGGAAGTTACTTGCGGTTGAAAAGTTGAAGTCATCACGTTTATTATATAGCTTGGTTTCAATGTTACCATTAATGTCTTTTTCTAGTAAAATATCCAAATATGAAACAGATGTGTCAGACTCTGTGTATCTTTTATTTCAAGCCCACTGGGATATATCGAGTCGATATATGAATGGAAGTAACTATTGTTGATTGATAATACGTCGTCGATATGTCTAAATGTCGAAATGAAGGCAACAGCAAGTGTTTCGTCTTCTCATGTATAAGATTTTTAATAAATTCTGCTTCATATGAATACAAAGATATGTTTGCTAATAACGCGGCGCATTTGGTACCCATGGGAATTCCGACAGATTGTTGGAAGACCTGGTCTCCAATTGTCAATCAGAAACTCAAGTATCTTTTAATGTCAACTTCAGAGTACTTGTGTGTACAATCAGAATGTAAGCCTCTCTCCAAGATTCTGGTGTTTAAATATCCAAAATAGCTGCCGTTGCCACGAAACTAAAAAATGGGCCACTTACTTCTAAAACTCGAAATTTTGTAAAACTTTAGGAGAGCATTTGCTCTCTGCTTTCGAATGCAGTATTACACCGCTGGGGTTGCTAGAACATGCTTCGGCTTGCAAAGCAGTATTTCTGCTATTGCTTTTGCTTTTGGTCTTTTTAAAACTTTTTTTTCCTGTTGAACACCTGCTCGTTTCCAATACTCACATAATGTTAACCTATCAATAATATCAATTTTAGAATTTTCTCACACACTCTTTGTAAAAAGAATCGATCCATAGATATAATAGTCGATCTTTAGAGGGCAATCAAACTATTTAATCACCAAAGGTGGCCTGACATTCATTTTCATTTTTTTTAACTAAAAGGTATCGCTGCGCCGGAAAAGGTGTTGAGACATCAAGTCTTACGATTTTTTGAGTGACTTATTTTACAATTTCCTTTGATTGAAAGTTTGGGTTGAGACTCAATGATTTGAACTATATTTTTTAAAGATTTCTTAATGAATTTAACAATTCTTGGGTCGAAAAATTCATATTTTTATTAAATCAGTTGACTTTCATGTGAACCTCTGGCCAAAATATTGTCGATATAATTTAAGCATTGTTAAAAGAGGGAAAATCCTACTCAGAAAGAAAGGGGGAAATCTGGCTCTAGTGTGAGATTTCCCCTCGGGGGAAATCCTACTCTAGAGTATTAGTTCCGTAGGGAAAGCTGGTTATGGGGGAAATTTCTTCTCTACAACACTCTGCAACACTATATGTATTTTATACGTTCTTTTTACTCTCTCGTGAAATTGTTTCTTTCTCTCAGTAAGTCTGGTTTCCGTGACAATTTTAGAATTTTAATCAATTCTGTGTAAAAATCAAGTCAGAACTGCCTAGGACTATACTTTATATAATTTTCGAGGCCTCTTTAGCCACAAATGCAACTAATTTTTACTTTTCAAAGACGTAACTATACACATCTAATATATTATGAATGAAAACGTTAATTATAGCATCAATAGCAGTTTATTGACATTTATATGTACTGTTGATCTGATAACTGTTAATCACTTTTCACTCTGCTCGCTTATAATAGTTTTATTAAAGATTATGTAAAACAAAAATCAGAATTCGTAAAAATCTATTCTCGCTTAATTTAAGTAAATTGCGCATGTGAACGGGGCTTTACAGAAGTGTATCAGAATCAAAGAACTTTCAATTTCAGCGTTAAACAATTGTTATAATAATAGCAATGATATATTAACAAACATATTTACATAAATTGGAGATCTTTTTGGAGGGAAAAAATCGAATAACAAAAAGAAGACCCCCCTATATAATTACATATCCTCTATTTACGCTCGCATAGAGAGCCTCTATATACATGCTTTAGTAAAGATTCTATATGAATTCAATTTTGATGTGAATCACAGTTTTTTTTTCCGATTGTATTGAATCCTAGGGGAAATAATTGTGTACGAAATTGCAAGCATATCTTAAATACATATATTTAATATAATTAATATATACATGTATACACTGTCAATCATTTTTGAAATCACAGCGTTTTTGGCAATAAAATCATTCCATTGGTTTTTATTTAGTGGACTTTTTTATTCCTATGAGACCACGTCGGTTGCCTCTTCTCAATAAAAGCCTTTATGCCTTCCTGTCCGTCCTCCAGCGAGAGATTCTCCACCATCACCGCTGACGTCAATCTATAAGATGTAATAAAATATCACCACTAACGTCAATCTATAAAGTGTAATAAAATATCACTGCTAACGTCAATCTATATAATGTAATAAAATGTCACTGCTAACGTCAATGTACATAATGAAATGAAATATCACCGCGGATGTCAATCTACATAATGAAATCAAATATCTCCGCGGACGTCAATCTATAAAAAGAAATGATATATCACCGCTGACGTCAATCTATTTGATGAAATGAAATAAAATTACTGACATCAATGTATGAAATGAAATGAAATATTACTGCTACAAAAATCTATATAATAAAATATAACCCCAGACGTCAATCGATATAATGAAATAAATATCACCGCTGATGACAATTTACATTATGGAATGAAATATCACCGCTGACGTTAATCTATGTAATGAAATGAAATATCACCGCTGACGTCAATCTACATTATAAAATGAAATATCACCGCTGACGTCAATCTATATAATGAAATGAAATATCACCGCTGACGTCAATCTACATTATAAAATGAAATTTTACTGCTGACATCAATCTATAAATGAAATGAAATATATACACTGATATCAATCTATAAAATGAAATGAAATTTTACTGCTGACATCAATCTTTATAATGATTGATTGATTGTATATTGTATGCTGTTTTACATCCCGTTCGAGAATTTTTCACTTATATAGAGGCGTATCTCTATAATGAAAAGAAATATAACTGCTGACATCATTCGATGTAATGAAGTAAATATCACCACTGATGTAAATTTACATAATGAAATGAAATATAACTGATCACGTCAATCTATACAATGAAATAAAATATCACCGCTGATATCAATCTATACAATGAAATAAAATATCACCGCTGATATCAATCTATACAATGAAATAAAATATCACCGCTGATATCAATCTATACAATGAAATAAAATATCACCGCTGATATCAATCTATACAATGAAATAAAATATCACCGCTGATATCAATCTACAAGGGTTGATGCAAAAGTAATGTCACAGCGCTATAAAATATTTAATACTTAATCATCACTTATGTCAGTCTTTAAACACTGCAATGAAATAAAATATCGCATGTCAATCTAGATCTATGTAATGAAATAAAATATCATCACCCTATCTTTACTTCTTGACTAAAATTTTAACTGCTGTAAAAGGAGAAACTTCAGACGTACTGCACTACAGCATATTCTAGGAGTGGTGTAAATCAGATGTGGATTCTCAAAAACTCTAGAGAACTTTTAGAAAATTGAAAATCATCATTTTTTTTCTAAATTTAATAACATCAAAACGTACGATTTTCCTACACTTTATACATGTACATCCATTCTTCATGATAAAGTAAAAACTGCTTCTTCAATAAAAATGGAAGTAGAAAATTTTCGTATCTTGTGGTTGGTCATCAACAAAATTACTTAAGAAATAAAGTCCGCGTTATCGTGAATATGCAGGATAACCTCCGAGGTCGAGAAATGTTGTCTGAAATATAAAAGCCGAGGCGTTAGCCGAGGCTTTTATATTTCAGACAACATTTCGAGACCGAGGAGGTTATCCTGCATCATTCACGACAACAAGGACTTTATTTCTATTCTACTAACGGCTCTAAAATACAGTTGATCGTTTTCTTTATAGAGAAACGAATTAGGTCACCATGTCGCAATTTCGCTGTTCCATTTAACACCAGAGGGTCAATCGATTGCATAAAATGCAGACGATTTCAACTTTTGCTGGATTAAAAATATCCTTTAATTATTTATAAATTTGCTTGTAACATATATTGATTAATTTTTATGAATGAAAAATAACAAAACCAGTTGTCTATTTCATTGATTTATCAGTAAAATCACGGGAGTGTAAATGTTATGGGGAGATCCGTAGAACAGCCCCACTTGGCTATAAAAACGGATATTTATCAGCTGTTTCAGGCAATACTATGAGGCGCCGTTTTGGTATTTACTGCCAAAAAGTGATATCACCTATTCAAATAGGTGATATCACCTATTCGAATAGGTGATATCACCTATTCGAATAAGTGATATCACCTATTCAAATTGAATAGGTGATATCACCTATTCGAATAGGTGATATCACTTATTCGAATTGGTGATATCACTTATTCGAATAGGTGATATCACTTATTCGAATAGGTGATATCACCTATTCGAAATGAATAGGTGATATCACCTATTCGAATAGGTGATATCACCTATTCATGCTGAATAGGTGATATCACCTATTCGAATAAGTGATATCACCTATTCGAATAAGTGATATCACCTATTCAATTTGAATAGGTGATATCACCAATTCGAATAAGTGATATCACCTATTTGCATTTCTTACAACAATAAATAATGAATGCTCCCTTCCTCAAGATTATCTACATTTTCATTGGAACCAAGCAAATTCGGGCTGCATTAGGGTCTGTAAGTCTCGTCACGTGACTCGCGAGATTTTTCGATAATATTAACTTCCGGGTACCTCACACATGGAGATGCAAGATGTGTATTGGGTTATGCATGTTTATGGTTTACACAAAGCGTATAAGGAAAGTTTAAGCAGTTGTACAAAGCCGAAGGGTTCTCTGACTTACGATGGATAAATTGAGTGTCATAAAAGCTTGGGTGCGAGCAAGTAGGAGGAGAATTTCGATCGAAGTACAGGTAAACAAGTCAGAGAATGTCACCTGTTTCTTGGGTATTCTTTGGTGAAATAGAAGTCTTATATTATACATTTGTATCTGATTAGAATAGTTTTGTTATCATCATTACAACTAATTTATTAACAGATTTTTCTTGAATTCGAGGATAATGATGTTATTACCAGCTGATTAAGGAGGAGTAGTGTAAGTGTCAGATGGGTACGAACGTCATCTTGTGACAGCATCACCTTTGTTTGGGTAAATAATTTGTTCAGAATACGCTTCATTTATCAACAGAAATTAAGCTGTTGCATGTCAGTGGGTCTAGTTTTATAAGTATTCAATGTTTGAAAGCACTTATCAGGTCCAGTACAATCTTTTGATTTAGCTATATAGCTTTATTAAGCTATTCAGAATAGATAGAACGTTCTATCGTTAAAATGATATTGTCCTATGGACCCGGTTTAACGATAGAATTTGTTCTGTGTATTCGCAATGTAGCAAAATAAACACGGGCAATAACTCGAATTCTCTGCATTTTGTATGAAGAATCCAGAGAGTTCCGAATGTCAACATGGCGTTAAATTTGAAGCGAGGAAAAAACGTTGAGAAAATGAGTTGAATTTTCGTATATATATGGATTTATTTGTAGGTTAAAAGGCATATACAATCTCAAAAATGTTTGTTATGATTAATTTGGTAGTTATTTTCAATGCAACTCCTTTTGTATTCTTCAAAATCATTTCGGAGTGGATCCACTCTGATTTGCTACTTTGCAAGTATATGGGAGGTATTCTAACTGTGGTGAGGGCTTGTCCCGAGACACAGTTAGATTATTCTAACTATATTCAGAATAGCTTAATTTAGCTATTTTATATCAGTTTTTCTTAAATGTGTACTTTTCTCAGCATGCACAAAAAGTCGCACCTTGGTGCAGTGATGATACTCAACCTTGAACTCATCTGAAATTGATGCATTATAAAACTCACTCATTAAAATCTCCTTGCATTCATGTAATAATTTTTAGGCCCAAATACTGTACAGCAGTCCTCAAAATACTGGAATTTGGGTGAAAATACTGTACATTGTTCATAAAAAAACAGTAAAAAATATCAACCAAAAATCAATGCAAGAGGTTCATTTTTAGCTCTTCTGAGCCAAAGGCCCAAAGAGCTAATGCTATGGCCATTTGTGCGGTGTGCATAAAATTTTTAGAATATGGGCCATAACTCAAGAACCCTTTGGCCAATTATTGTCAAATTTGTCACAGGGTATCCTTGGGCCAAGGGCTTCCATTTATACTAAAACTAGGGTTGTGACCCTTAAACAAGGGGAGATAATTAGGAAAATAGAAACAAAAGAGACTTTGTACTCAAAGTTCTAAAAGTTTTTAGGCTACATGCGCAATTGATACAGTTACTTCTTCAATGAAATTATAAAGGAGGCCAATTATGGTCAAGAAGATAATTGATTGGTAATAATTCAGTACAATGAGAAGCAATCATACTTATCCATGCCTCAATGCACACAAGGTAGTGGACAGTTACTCAAATAATAGAAATTTATCTTTTGCTTAAAAGTATTCAAAAGTTGCAAAGTTGGAGATATCTTTGATTTTGCTTGTTGTTTCGATAGCCCATAGCACATATATGAATGGTCAAATACATGCGACTTTTTGTCTATTTCTTACCAAAATAATTTTTGTGAAAAACTGCATATAAATAGCTAAATTAAGCTATTTTGAATAGCTTAATAAAGCTATATAGCTATAATTTCAAGCTATATAGCTAAATTAAGAGATTGTACTGGACCTGCTTATTTCCCAACGATAAGACTTTCTTTATATATTCTGCAAATTCTCTCTGCATTTATCATTGAACAAAATTCATATGACTGCAATAATTATATGACCATACTCTTCAGTTCAGAGAGCATGTTATAGAGGATATTTTGGTTAAAGTTTTGGTCTGTTAAGGTTTCAGTCTGTTTCAGTGTTTGAAATATTCTTTCATCTTACACAATTGTATACATTAAAATTTATTTTATAGCTAAAGTACAAGAGAACTGCAGCATGTAAGACTACATGTACATCGACTTTGAATAATCTACCTGGTATATCCTCAAAAAGGCAACTCAAATACAGGTATGAAATTGATGTCACAAAATAAGTTTTTGGACTTACATTTACTCTTATAATTCATATACATATAAAGCATATAAAAAATAGAAAAGAATTAAAGGTTCATCAGGTGACAGCTCAATCATGTATGGAATATTATTAGGCCAAATAAAAAAAATATGTGTGGTTCCCGTTACCCGACCGTCCCTATTTT